AGAGTTACCTTTTTTTTTTTTTTTTTTGGACAGAGTCTTGCGCTGTCGCCCAGGCTGGAGTGTATTGGTGCAATCTCGGCTCACTGCAACCTCTGCCTCCCGGGTTCAAGCAATTCTCCTGCCTAAGCCTCCCGAGTAGCTGGAACCACAGGTGCACGCCGCCATGCCCGGCTAGTGTGTGTGTTTGTGTGTGTGTGTGTGTGATGGAGTCTCGCTCTTGTCCTCCCGGCAAATTTGTGTGTGAGAGAGAGAGAGTGAGTGTGTGGGGGTGTGTGTGTGTGTGACAGAGTCTCGCTCTTGTCCTCCCGGCAAATTTGTGTCAGAGAGAGACAGAGAGAGAGTGTGTGTGTGTGTGTGTGTGTGACGGAGTCTCGCTCTTGTCCTCCCGGCTAATTTGTGTGAGTGAGTGTGTGTGTGTGTGTGTGTATGTGTGTGAGATAGAGTCGCGCTGTTGTCCTGGCTAATTTGTGTGAGAGTGTGTTTGTGTGTGTGTGTATGTGTGAGATGTTGTCTCGCTCTTGTCCTCCCGGCTAATTTGTGTGAGTGAGTGTGTGTGAGAGAGATAGAGTCTCGCTTTTGTCCTCCTGGCTAATTTGTGTGAGTGAGTGTGTGTGTGTGTGTGTGTGTGTGACGGAGTCTCTCTTTTCTCCCCCATGCTGGAGTGCGATGGCGCGATCTCGGCTCACTGCAACCTTCGCTTCCCGGGGTCAAGCGATTCTCCTGCCTGTCGCTTCCCAGGTTCAAGCGATTCTCCTGCTTCAGCCTCCTGAGTAACTGGGATTACAAGCTGCTGCCACCACGTCCGGCTAATTTTTGTATTTTTAGTAAACAGGGGGTTTCACCATGTTAGCCAGGCGGGTCTCCAACTCCTGACCTCAGGTGATCTGCCCGCCTCGGTCTCCCAAAGTGCTGGGATTCCAGGCGTGAGCCACTGCGCCTGGCCTGGGTTAACGTTATTAACAAACTAACTAACTAACTAACTAACGAAAGAGGCAACCGCGCTGTGGCTTCCTGAGATTCATTCCGGAGTTTCCATCTTGACTCCCTCCCTCCGTTGATTCTGGAACTTACTCCGGGACAGCTCAGTGTGGTCCTCGCCTCACGGGACAGCCAGGGGGAGCGCGCGATCTGCTCCCTCGCGGCCGGGTCGCTCCTGCCCAGCCAGAGGACCCCAATCTTCCCGACTCCGACGACTGGGTAGTCCTGCCCCGGCACGCCCTGCCGCAGGCGACCCGGGCATAGCGTCCCCGCCGTGTCCCCCTCTCTCTCTGCCCACTCCTGGCGCCAGGTGCGCTCTTCCCCAGCCAGGGACGGCGGCGGGTACTCACCAGCAGCGGAATCACGACGATGACGAAAACAAACCTAAGGGTCTTGCGGCCAGCAGCCATGGTGTGGTTCCCGACGCCGTCCTGGCTCCTGGAGAGCGCCCTGTTCGAGCGCTCGAGGCGGTCGGGGCGCTCTGTCCGCAAAGTCCTATGAGAAGGGAGGTGGGTGGAGGCTTTTCGTCCCCCTGAAGTTTGGGTAAAAAGCGCCAAAATCAATCAGAAACCGTCCAGAAATCGTCCCCGTAGCCCGTCTGCCTGGAAAAGTTTCCGCAGCTACACTGCCAGAATTGGCGCGCGCGCCTCCGCTTTTATACCCCGGAGGAAAAGGCGTGGTCACTTGTTCTCCCTTCCCGCAGTCACTTCCAGGCACTCAGAAAAGGGGCACGGCCTCCCCAAGTACCACGGGGAGGGCCCAGGTTGTGTGCGTGGGTGCGTGGACAGAGAGGAACTACTTCTTGCCGGCAGTGGTGACCCAGGCCTGTGGTTTGATTCCGAGTCCTGTCCAAGCTGTGGCAAGCAGAAGGGGTAGAAGCTGAGGTGCTTCCCACTGCGCTGCTGTAGTCGGTGTAGTGAGGTTCAGAGGAGGCACTGGAGGCCTGTCCTGAGCCTGCTCCCTCCCCGGGACGCCTGTCTCTCCTCTTGTTAAACCCTGAACTACTTCCTGGCTTAAGGACTTCAGTCCACTCTTAGCTTCTGCTCCCACTCCCTCCCCCAACAGCGGCCTCACTGACCACTGCTCTGATGCCACTGCCTCCAGCCCCTTTGCAGCTGTGACCCAGCACCAAGCTTCTCTGGCAGGGGCTTGGCACCCCTCAGTAGCAGGTGCCTGGCACCAAGGAGGGACTCAGTGAGCGCATGAGTGGACAGAATGAAGGACACAGAGGCCATGACGGCCACGTGCAGAGGCTGAGGAGTAGGTAGGAGGGAGAGGAAAGACAGGGGCATCCCCAGCCACAGCCTGGCACCCTTTGCATGGTCAAAGCACAAACACTCCCTGACCAGCCTTGAGGGCTCTAGTACTGAGGCCCCATGGGGACAGGGGAATCAGGGGAGTGGCTTCCAAAGCCTGTCCCCAAGTCTAGTTTCTACCCAGGTCCAGCTGTCTGACCTTGGGCTACTTACCTCCCCATCGAGTTAAGCACACTGCCGCTGTGAGGACAGACCCAATGTGTGGTATTGAAGGGTGCCAACTTGTGAGCCTAGGCACTCAGGTCAATGGCACGACTCCTAGACCCTTGGGGTCACTCGGCTCCTGACCCCTCACATGGTGGATAGAAGAGGATAGCACTATAGAAACTAAGGTTTTATGGCTCATGAGAAAGCTGGGATTGAAATGTCATCCTCTCCACAGGCTTGGATTTGAGCGATGGAGCACCCTGAGCACCTGCCAGGCCCCAGGCCCTGAGTTAGGATCAGAAATGTGTGCCAGGTCTCCGTGGCATGGAGGAGTTTGTGGGGTCAGGAATGTGTGCTGGGTGCAGATCCAGGCAGGGAGTGAGAAGACAGGGACTTCAGGAAGACTGACAGCATTAATGCAGAGCCACCAAAGCCTGCAGGAAGGTCTTTAGAGCACCTCAGGCCCCTTGGCCCTGGAGGCTGGACCACACAGTGTAGACTAGAAACCAGACTGCAGGTGACGACGCAGTCTCTGTGCCCTATGTGGGACACTGACTAGGGCTAATGGCAAAAGGCTGTGAGCACCTCCCGGGAACTGGGCCTTTAGACTATAAAGTTTCCATTTCAGAGGGACTTACAAGCTTGCGATGGAACACTAACTGAAGCTCCCCCTGTGACTGAAAGACATAAAATAATCTTGAAACCTGAAAAACTCGTGATGTCTTCAGTGATCTTGGAAAAGCTGTAACGGGGAGGGCAGTCCCAGAAGAGTTCTCTTACAAAATGGAAATCGTTTATATGCGATCCTGGTGCCTAAGGAAGGCAAAGAGGAGACACTCATGAGCAGGGAGCCTCTGTTCCTCTCAGACTGACTCTAGAACTGGGTGAGGAGCTGCTGGATTCTAGGGTCATCTGGACACTTCCCTATACACAGCTCTTTACTGACTGACCAAGAGCTACTTAGTTTGTAGACCGTTGTTCCTAGGTGAATAGAGCAACAAGAGCGAGACTCTGTCTCCAAAACAACAATAACAACAACAACAAAAACAAAGTATAAAACCAAACTGTGCTCTGACCACCTTGGGCCATGTCATCAAAAGCTCCTGTGGCTATGTCATGGGTGCGCATCTTCAACCTGTCTCCGATTTTCATGGTTTACATAAGTCTGCCTTTCTTCATGGTCCAGGATACAGAGCTCTCCTGTGCAAATAACTCACAATCTTCCCACACTCAGCTATCATCAGACACCTGCAGGTTGGCTCACTGCAACCTTGGCTTATCAATACTGCACAAACCCCTCTTCAACAGTCGTCGTAAACGCTAGCCTATAAAATCTCCAACAAGCCTTTGTCACTTCGCAGTCAGCTCCTCTTCTGCGGGCTTGCCCATTGCCTCCTTGCTACACGTTTTCCTACTTTCTCTAATAAATCTACTTTATTTTCTTATTTATTTATTTATTTATTTAGAGATGGAACTTCACTCTTGCTGCCCAGGCTAGAGTGCAATGGTGTGATCTCGGCTCACTGCAACCTCCACCTCCAGGGTTCAAGCAAGTCTCCTGTCTCAGCCTTCTGAGTAGCTGGGATTACAGGCATGCGCCAACAAGCTCGGCTAATTTTTGTATTTTTTAGTAGAGACAGGGTTTCACCATGTTGGCCAGGCTCTTCTTGAACTCCTGACCTCAGGTAATCCACCCGCCTTGGCCGCCCAAAGTGCAGGGATTACAGGCATGAGTCACTGCACCTGGCCATAAATCTGCTTTTCTTTACCTACAACTGTTTTGGAAAAATCTTTTATTATTATAATACTTTAAGTTCTAGGGTACATGTGCACAATGTGCAGGCTTGTTACATAGGTATACATGTGCCATGTTGGTGTGCTGCACCCATCAACTCGTCATTTACATTAGGTATTTCTCCTAATGAGATCCCTCCCCCCAACCCCCACCCCATGACAGGCCCCGATGTGTGACGTTCTCCTCCCTGTGTCCGTGTGTTCTCACTGTTCAACTCTCACTTATGAGAGAGAGCATGCGGTGTTTGGTTTTCTGTTCTTGTGATAGTTTGCTGAGAATGATGGTTTCCAGCTTCATCCATGTCCCTGCAAAGGACATGAACTCACCCTTTTTTTGGCTGCATAGTATTCCATGGTGTATATGTGCCACATTTTCTTTATCCAGTCTATTATTGATGGACATTTGGGTTGCTTCCAAGTCTTTGCTATTGTGAATAGTGCCACAGTAAACATACGTGTGCATGTGTCTTTATAGTAGCCTGATTTATAATCCACTGGGTAAATACCCAGTAATGGGATTGCTGGGTCAAATGGTATTTCTAGTTCTAGTCCCTGAGGAATCACCACACTGTCTTCGTGCCACTGCCCCAGAAAATCTGTCTCTCCCCTGTGACACTTACTGCTGGGTAAGATAAAGGGAAGAAGAAGAGGGAGAATGGAGCAGGAGGAAAAGCAGGGTTGGTCCAGAGAGGAGGAGGGTGGGACTGGAGGAATGTAGCCCCCAACCCCCATGGGGCAAAAGCTGGGCCAAAATTGCCCCTTTCTGTTTTCTTTTCTTTTTTTTTGAGATGAAGTCTCGCTCTGTCTCCCAGGCTGGAGTGCAGAGGCGCCATCCCGGCTCACTGCAAGCTCCGCCTTCTGGGTTCACACCATTCTCCTGCCTCAGCCTCTGGAGTAGCTGGGACTACAGGCGCCTGCCACCACGCCCGGCTAATTTTTTGTATTTTTAGTAGAGATGGTGTTTCACCGCGTTAGCCAGGAGGGTTCGATCTCTTGACCTCGTGATGTGCCCACCTCAGCCTCCCAACATGCTGTTTTCTAACCCTGACCCAAATTTCACTGCCCACATCCTTTTTAGGTGTAAAAGATGCAGTCCCATGGAGGAGGGGCAGAGCCAGGAGGCAGTGGGGCTGTGGGCTCAGAGCTCAGGAGTCACTTGGCCTGAAAAAGTTGTTCTAGCTGAGAGGGACTGGCCCTGGGGTGGGCTCCAAGAAAACCCTGGTTAGGTCTGGGATAGAGCAAACTTGAAACAAAGACCACTTCGGCCACGGCTGCGTGGCACCAAGACCTGGAGATCAGGGGTTAAATCTTCGAGAGAGAGCAGGCGGTGGCAACACAAGCAGCTCCAACCCTGGGGAAGCCATGTTGTCCCGGTCCAGGTCTCGAGGGCTGTGGCCGCCTCCCCTCCACAGCCTCCAGAGCAGCTGGCAGGCAAGCTCCGGCGTGTGCTGCCCTCTACAGGCTGCTCAGCCTCCATGCAGCTCACCCAGCCCAGGGCTCCAAGTGAGGCCATGGGCAGCACAAGAGGGAAGCAGTGGGTAGCCCGGAGCAGCCCCACCTCCCCTCTGGGGAAGGCAGACAGCATGGGGGCATGCCTGGGCCTCCCGTGAGCTGTGGGTGAGAGGGAGAGCGGGTCCTCCAGGGTAAGGGGAGCGGGAAATGGGTCTCCCAAGTGCCTGTAGGGCTGAGCAACCTGGGTCCACTGATGGGGATGCAGGCAAGGGCTGCTGTCCCTCTCTCCAGAGGGAGGGGCAGACAGGAGAGAAACAGGGAGGAGGTGCGTGCAAATTCCAGTGCCCAAGAACCTGGTCCTTTAAAATCTAGGGAGTTATAGTCAGGAACCTCGACCCCTCCCCACCTCCAGCCCCCCAACCTCCCACCCCACCCCCAGGCAGGCCAAACCCGAAGGCAGAGAAGGGACAAGGAAGGAATCCCAGCAGGAAGGAAGCCCTAGCCTCCTGTCAATCAGAGCTGTGTCACAAGAGGAGGGGAGGATGGAAATAAATGAACACCACACCTCTTTTTATATGAGGTTTCACATTTATTTTGGTCATAAACATAGCATTTCATACATAACCAGGTGTTATGTCCTATTTGGCCTGGGTATAAAGCAAAACCTAAACAAATATCCAAGCCCCCAAAACTCCAACAACTTCAAGTTCTCAGGAAGCTTACTTTAAAGGAATAAGCTTAAACACTGATAAGGTTGATAGTCTAGATGCATCTTCAAGGAAGGCCTCTGAGGAAGGGACAAGGGAGCTGGGTCCGGACTGCCTGCCTCTGAGCTTTGAGGCTGAGTGTCCTGCACTGAAGGCCCAGCAAAGGCAAAGACCAGGAGGCAGCAGCACCCTGTGCCTTCCAGAAGTGCAGGGAACAATGCGTGGGATGCCAGATGGAAGTGGGAGAGGATGGAAGTGCGAAGACCAGAAAGGCCATCCCCTCCTAAAACTCCACAGACACAACATTCTGAATGTGTGATCTTCAGGCAATTCTAACTTTGTCCCAGCCAAACCAGTCCCAGAACAAAACACACAATGCCTTGAGATGGAAAAGACTGAAACCCCTAGAATGACTACATGTGTAATTTATCCTACCACGACTGGACTACTGTAGAGAAGGGTTTGCTGGAAAGAGGCTACAATGATTACTGAGGTTCTTAAATAAAATAATGGAACGTGACACAAGGACAAATGTGTCGGCCATTTGAGGTCCCGTTGTCACAGTGTTTAAGAATTGGTATTACTGAGATGAGTCAGATGCTTACAGAGAAGCCAAGCGACTCAAATAGGGAATCTGTACCCTAAAATGCAGCTCAGGAATCTCTACCCTAAAATGCAGCCCAGGGACTTGGGGTCACAGACCACCAGAAGCGAGAGGGGCCCATCCACTCCTGAGTCAGCAAACGTTTCACACCATTCCCAAGCACTGTCCACTCTTCCCTCCTGATGCCATGGCACATGCTGGGGCAGATAAACACCTGCTCTGCCCTGAGCCCAAAGGAGGCCCAAGATTCACTAATGTTCAACGGTAATGGCGCTTGAAAGAGAAACTCTTCACAGTCTCGGATCTAACTTAGTTCTGTCTTCATCTGCTGTGGACACGTAGGAAGATGCAGTTCCATGACTGTCCCAGCAGGACAAATCAGACACATGGCTTCCCAAAGATACCATGCTCTTCAAAATCCTGGGCATATGTAAACGTCTACTTATCAATAAATACGGCTATATACCTCTAAAATTATCAAGTAAGACAGGCCGGCCCCCAGAGAAGTTGCCAGTCATCAAACCCTCGTCCAGTCTCAGGGCGTAGGAGGGAGAACTGGAACACAGTCAGTGCCTCCCACGGAGGGAGGATTTCTCCCTTCGTCACTAGTTATATTTCTAGTCATTTTTGACTGCTGATTTGCACCCCCAGGGAACCCATGTAAACAGCCTAATAAGTGCATTTCCTAGAGTTTTTCCATGCTTACATCATTATACAAAAATCGGAAAATAGATAATACAGCATACAGTAATAAGCAATACAAATGTTTCTCTAATTAAGGTGGGGGTAAGCCCCAATAATCCCATGTTAAAGCTCAAAACTCTAAGTCGAACCCTCATAAATCCATATGCTCATGACTTAGCATAGGACTATGTCTTGATAATCTCATCATTAACTCAGAAATATCCTAAACTGAAAATACAGCTAATAACCAGATAATCCCATTCTAAAGTTAAAAAACTATAAGGTAAACCACTGTGGCTATGCGGCATCTGTAGTTAGATGTCATTAAATGCACATACCAGTAGAGATGGAGCTTGCAATATAAGAAATAGAAAAAAAGACTTGTCTCATGATGAAGAACTGGAAAGAATGACATCCTAAAACCACTCTTTTTCTTTTTAAATTGAGACGGAGTTTCACTGTGTTGACCAGGCTGGTCTCAAACTCCTGAACTCAAGCGATCCACCAACCTCAGCCTCCCAAAGTGGTGGGAATACAGGCATGAGCCACTGCACTTGGACGAAAACCACCATTAATACACAATCGTATAACTCTATGCCGCCAAGAGTCTTATACAAATTTCCCCAGTTTCCTTATCACACGCAGTATTTCATAAAAATTACTTCAAGTGCATTGACCAAGTTCTAGGACCTTTGGTAAGCTGCACCATATTGGATAGCAGTGTTAGTTGAGGCATGGTTCAAGTACTGGACTGTCTCTTCCAGGCTGCTTCCCCTTCTAGAAGAAAAGGTAAACGGGGAAAGCTCTGGTTTCCTGAAGAGATTCTTTCACAGGGACGACGTAGCAAAGCCTGCGTCATCTTCTTCATAAAAGAGCTTCTCAGAGTCCACCATGTGGTCCTGAATTATTTCCTTTGCATGTCCTTCCTCCAGTGTTGCCGAGGCATCCAGCAAGGTGTTGACTGAGAAGAGAGAAGAGATTTAGGGTCTCGATGCTCCAAGGACAATCAGCACAGGATTGACATGGGACCCCCTGCTTCCAGCAGTGAATGCTCCAGAAGAGCCCTCTCGCTATAGGGACAGCAGGTAGGACACTGTCCCTATTCCCTGTCCTCCTGCTGCGTCTCAAGGCACAAAACACTTACTCTCAATGGGGTCAGCGTCATTCACTGGAACCAGCAGCGTCCTCCTCTGACACCCACACTTGAGCTTCTGCCTGTTCCTGTAACACACAGTGGGGAATGCTCTGGTCAGAGTCAGGAGTCCTGCAGTCCAGTACTGACCCCGACCACCAGCCAGCAAGAGACCTGCAGGGCTTCCCATCTCGGGTCTCCATGGAGATGGAGACAAACCTCTGGTCCTGCATAGCTCTTGGGCTCTGTGTGCTGGTGACTCATTGAGACATACGTGGCATGCAGTAAATGCTCACTTTGTAAGTGTTCTGTCCAGCTTTGACTACTGTATATGCCTGGGTAATTATCCCCTGATCAAGACATAGAACATTGCCACCACCCCAGAAAGTCCCCTTCTGCCCCATCTAATCAACTCCCACCCACCCTCACAGGAAACGATCACTTCCTTACACAATTCTCACCGGCAGAAGAGTATATATGAGAGCACCCAGGAAAACCTAACAAAATGATTTATTCCAAGACTGTAAATGACCTTTGATCATCAATACTGTACCACATCAATAGTGTAATTAAATAAAACAGCAGTCTCCATGGACGCTGGAGAGGCATTTGGTAAAATTAAACACCAATTCTGATCTTTTTCAGAACCTTTTAGAATAGTAGGTTGCATTCTTGATTATGAGAATTTCTATATGAAACCAAAAGTGAACGCCATTCCTCAGGGTGACACTTTGGAGGTCTTCTCCAGAAATCAAATCAGTACCCAAACACCTGCTTTCCCTAAGCACAGCTGAACACGGTTCTGAAAGGTCTGGCCTAGGCAACATGATGGAAAATTAAAATGAGGTAAGACTTTTGGAAGAGAGCAGACACCATAATCATTATTTTCAATGTCATTTAAAATCCCTAAGAATGAAACTACAATACTGAAACAGAAATGTATGTTTGGAGGAAAGTTAAAAACATAGCAGATGCAATAAATTAGCAAACAGAATTATAAGGCTATCCAACTCATGCTGGATACGAAATACTAAACAGCCATAAGAAACAGGAATAATGGATTTGAAGAGGAATACAAATCACAACTCAGTTACAATAAAATACTTGACACCAAATGTTATCTCCTTTGATAAGGAAATACTGAATACTTATTTATTTATAAATTTATAAATAAATATGCTGAATATTATTATACTGAATAAATATACTGAATCTAGAAATACTGAATATTTTATATTCACTATTTATATATAAGTTTATGTACGTATATATAGATTTTATATAAATATATATAAATTATATATATAATATACATAATAAATATATATAATTTATTTGTATATAAATTTATTAGTTTATATAATTATTGTTTATTATATAAATTCATATATTTATATATTTATATAAATATAAAATATTTATATAATTTATATAAATTCATATATAATTATATATAATATAAATTCATATATTTATATATAAATATGTATTTATTTATATATAAATACTGAATATTTATAAAATATGTATAAATATTTATATTTATAAAATATTCAGTATTTCTAGAATAATTTTTAATTTTAAAGCGAATTGACAAAAATGCCGAGTTTTTTCAGGAGGGAAGGATGGAGGAAATCTTTTAATTGTGAATTTTATCTGGGTAAAATAATACATTTTGAAAAAGTATGGAAGAGGTGTTTGCTCTTTTGGATATTAAAAAGCATTAGAAAGTTCCCATTGGAACATGCCTCACCATGGTAAGAGCCATCTATGACAAACCCACAGCCAACATCATACTGAATGGGCAAAAGCTGGAAGCATTCCCCTTGAGAACTGGAGCAAGACAAGGATGCTCACGCTCACCACTCCCATTCAACATAGTACTGGAAGTCCTAGCCGGAGCACTCAGGCAAGAGAAAGAAGGAAAAGGCATCCAGATATGAAATGAAGAAGTCAAAACTCTTCATGGACGATATGATTCTATACCTTGAAAACCCTGAAGACTCCACTAAAAGCCTCCTGGAACTAATAAACAGCTTCAGCAAAATTTCAGGATACAAAATCAATGTATAAAAATCAGTAGCGCAGGGCACCGTGGCTCACACCTGTAATCCCAGCACTTTGGGAGGCAAGGCAAGTGGATCACGATGTCAGGAGTTCAAAACCAGCATGACCAACATGGTGAAACCCTGTCTTTACTAAAGAATACAAAAATTAGCCAGGTGTAGCCGGGTGCAGTGGCTCACACCTGTAATCCCAGCACTTTGGGAGGCCAAGGCGGGCGGATCAGAAGGTCAGGAGATTGAGACCATCCTGGTTAACACAGTGAAACTGCATCTCTACTAAAAATATAAAAAATTAGCTGGGCGTGGCGTCCCAGCTGCTCCGGAGGCTGAGGCAGGAGAATGGCGTGAACCTGGGAGGCGGAGCTTGCAGTGAGCTGAGATCATGCCACTGCACTCCAGCCTGGGTGACAGCGAGTCTCCATCTCAAAAAAAAAAAAAAAAAAAAAAAAAAGAAAACAAATCATTCTACCAAAAGACACCATTATCCATAATAGCAGTGACGTGGAATCAACCTAGGTTCCCATCAACAGTGGACTGAATGAAGAAAATGTGGTATATACACCATGGGAGACTACACAGCCATAAAAAAGAATGAAATCATATTGTTTACAGCCACATGGATGAAGCTGGAGGCCATCATCCTACGTGATTTAACGTAGGAACGTAAAACCAAATACTGCATGTTCTCACTCATAAGTGGGAGCTAAACATCAGGTACTTACGAACATAAAGTCGGCAACAATAGACACTGGCGACTACCAGGGCGGGGAGGGAGGGAGAGGAGGAAGGGTTGAAAAACTAACTGTTGGATACTACGCCCACAACCTGGATAAAATCATTCATACCCCGAATTTCAGCATCAAACAATATAACCAGGTAAGAAACTTGCATATGCACCTCCTGAATCAAAATAAATTTGAAAAAGGAAAAAGAAAAAATGAAAACAAGTTTCCTTTGACAGTGTATTATATGTAACATAATCCCTGTAATGTAAACAAAATGTACATGTGCTTGTATGAATATACGTGGCATATGCATAAAGATTTCCACAAAGAATCACAAGATATTCTCTGTTGCATTTACCTGAATTAAGAAGGGCTGGGGCTGGAGGAAGTGTTGGGGAACTACCACTAAGACTGAGAACCTTCCTGTAGTATGGCAGACGTGTGGCTCTGCATTTACCACTTTCAAAAAATGTGCAACGCGGTCAGGTGCAGTGGCTTATGCCTGTAATCCCACCACTTTGGGAGGCCAAGGTGAGAGGATGACTTGAGGCCAGGAGTTTGAGACCAGCCTGGGCAACATAG